GGGGGAGAAACTGAAAAACTAGTAAGACAGAAGAAGAAGAAATGGGGTGAGTAGGGAAGAGGAGTAACTGGAGAAGACGTCATAAGGAATGGGAGACTACTCAAGCAGAGAATTTGGCAGGGGAAAATTTGTGAGGCCGCAGGGGTCAAGGACGCTACAATTCATTTGTAAGGAACTCTCTCTTCCCAGAGAGCGCAAACAGGAATTCCTTCAATTTAGTATGATTTGCTGGGTCATTTATTTTTTCCTCGTTTCTCTTGGTTCCGTTCCTTCTTTTTCAACCTGTTGGTTTTTTCCCCCTCATTATTGTGGACAGGCAGACAGACGAGACCAAAATTAATGCGGGAGAGAGAGAGAGAGAGAGAGAGAGAGAGAGAGAGAGAGAGAGAGAGGGGCAGGATAGACTTTTGTTTTACCAGCTAGCAAATAAGTGAACAATACATTCTTTATTCTTTAGCACTTGGACTGTGAACTCATGTCTCTCAGACTTCCATTTGCCCCTTTTCTTTCAAACAAACCAGAGAATTGTTTGATAGCAGGAAAGCATTGCGTGCAATTAGTGCAAGTCAACTAATGACCCCCTACAAGTGTGCAAACAATACCGCTATTGTTGACTTCAAAGGCGTTTGTGAGCACGCATTCAAAGTGACTTAGTCTCTCTGCACTTATGGTCAAGTTCAACATCACAAGCAATCATGTTTGCTGAAATACTCCGTCACCACTTAAAGAAATGTTTGCTATAGAACTTAAACACCAATACCAGAAATGTTAGCAATAGAAATTCAACAGCAGTGGCAGAAATATCTGCTCATGAACTCCAATATTAATTGCAGCCATGCTTACCGAGAAGTGGAACGTCCAACTTACCACAATCAATGCAGATAATTTTTAAGTGTTGACCATAGCGGTAGCCGTTTAGACTGTAGGCTGAAACGAAAATTAGAAACTTTAGCAAGAATGAACGAAAATAATTTTGATCCCACTTGGATTCATCCCTCAAACTTCCACATTTCATGGTTAAAAAGATGTGTTCCCTCTGCCCTGTCATGACTGGCGCCAACTACAGCAGTGACAACACTGATTTTTTTATATATCAATAGTACGAGAATTTAATATAACACCAATGACATCATAAGCACAAGTAACTTTGCTACCTTCAATAAAACAAGTAGCCATTATTTGGGTAGTTGTTTTACAGCCCCGTCGACACAATTTAGATCATTTAGGTGGTAGATTTAGACCCTGCCTTCAGGAGTCAACTTGGGCTGATATATATGTATACGCTCCCACAGGCAGACCGAGAAACTGAATAAATATTCTCTTTAAATGGGAAACGTACTTGAGTCGTCTGTGTGTGACGGTGAAGCGCCTAGCCGCTACATTACTTGTCGTAACATCAATACAGCAGCGAATGGAGTAACACTACAGCTTCAGTGATACAGGTACTTGTAATGACATCATAAATGCAAGTAGCTGTAAAAACATTAAAACACAAAATATGAACATGGTAAACAGTAGCGACAAAATCAACTTTTAAATTAAGTTTTATACCTCTCTCCACAGCTGCAAGCAATGACCAATCTACTAGCGAAACGACACAAAGCCCTTCATGGCAAAACATCTATCTTTACTTATTCCCCTTGTTTTTATCCACCGGAAGTGCTGAGCTTGACCACACACTTCTCATTACGTCAGCAACGTCTGCAGCCGTGGTGGTGGACGTCCACACAGAGACCTACAGCTCCCAACCGCAACAACATGACGACAGGGTCACCTACTTTCTGATACAAACGCCGATAATTCCGCCGTCGATAAAGCATGTCTTCAACCAGTCACACTCTGCCCCAGTGTTGGGACAGGACGAAGCCCGAATCGTTGTTGTTTCGTCTAGCGGACCGGTAGAAATTGTTTATATTCGTACTCTGACAACTTCAGGGCTTTTGTCATCTTCATCGAGGATATACTCCACTTTAACTGCGAAAACCTGTTATCTGATCTCAACCCCGGCAAATCACCAGGAAGCCGGCAATTCTTTTACATCTACTATTTTTATAATAGCTGTGTCGAGTGCTACACACGTGCAGGTGAGATTTCCAGGAGACAGGGAGCCCAATCTTTCGCTCACTGTTGATGGTATAACGATTGGGCGGCCACAGACACTCTCTTTCTCGCTGCAGTTCAACGAGTCGGTTTCGTTCCAGGGTAATTCTGATCTCAGTGGGACATTCATTCAAGCAAATGATTCGGTGATTGTCTTCAGCGGATTTAAAGACGTAAGCTTATTTTCTCAGAATCTCACAAGCATCACATTAAATTTTAAGACTTGTCGCATTTATTTGTAGATAATTCTGTATATTTCCATTTCGTTCTAACATCTTTCCATTTGTTTTTTCTTACATTATCTATCTATCTATCTATCTATCTATCTATCTGTCTATCTATCTATCTATCTATCTATCTATCTATCTATCTATCTATCTATCTATCTATCTATCTATCT